TTATTATACTTATATTCTGTCTTTGTTGTAGAGCGTGCATAGTTTCTTTCTCACTTCTATTCTTACATTAATCACCTTAGAAAGATTAACTCTGGAAAGCAAGAGGCTGGAGTATTTAATGTTTACTTATACTCAACAATTTTTTATTTTCTCATGCTGATTCCATATTCTGTACAGGTTAAATCTCTAAAACTGGTAAAGATCAGCAAGCACCACATCTACACTGTCTTTGCCATTGTTATTTACTTTTTCTACAGACGTTTCCTGTACTTCTAGCTATTTCTAATACTACTACGATATCCTTTTCTAACAGACTTACCGGTATATAGTAAGATAAGTTTTGTAGCAACTAAAGCATTTACTTTGGAAGAGAAACATGATCTGAAACACTCAGTGAGCCATAAAGATTTACTCAGTAGGTTTAGGCAACTGATTATGTCTAATCTACAATAATAATGTCTGGGTTGATTGAAAAAAAGGACAGGATAGAAGTGCATACCCCCTACCCCACTTCAGATAATCAGAAAATACATCATTGATGAAGGTGCTTGTATCTGAAAATGTTTGCAGATCGTACATTGCTCTCTCGTTTGTTTATATTGCAATTGTTGTTTTTGCTATTTTTATAATGTTAATTGGACAACCAAATTACAACTAACCTTTTTTGTTAACTTCAACGGAAGATTCTTCATCACCAAAATTTATTACATAATCTAAAATTTTAGAAATATAGACAAAGCAATCATATGTATACATTCAAAGTACAGATATCCAGCATTAAATATTTATTAGTGAGCAAAGAAAGGTAGCCTATATTTTTACTAACATACCTAATCCATCAATCTATTCTCTTTATTTTTATTATATCAAGAGAAGGTATTTTAATGTGGTGTTTTATTCATGGAATGTTATTAAAAAAAATACTATTCTTGTACTGTGCCTGGTTTTACGGTTATAATAAACAATGACTGGATACTATTCTAATAATTGCAAGCACAAGGATTCACAAGAGCTTTGAAGGGTTTGTTTGTTTTTTTGAAGTGTTAACTGCTGCAATGAACCTCAAGGATATGAACAAAGTATAACTAAGTTTGGTTCAATTATATTTGTTGAAACTATGGCTATATTAGTGTAGAATAATCAGTGCTCACTTAAATATTTTAAGTATTTTCTTGACCTATAGGCTCAAAGAATAATCTGTACTTAAGGCATTCTGAACTGTCTGCACAGATAATTATGGTATTGAGAAGAGAATTAAATCTAATTCCAGACCGTCTCTACGTGTCAAATTAAGCAGTATTGCCTTTGGGAAGCACAGTGCTAATAACTGACCATATCAATGACTGGTTTTTTTTTTGTCTCCGGTTTCTGTCAACAGTTGCCTACAATAGGCAAAGTTAACAATTTACCACAACAGCATTGTTTAAAAGCTAACACACTGCTGTGTGAACTGCTGTAGCTCTTGCTTTGAGAAGTAATCCAGGATAACTCATGTTTGAACAGGTAAGACCAAGTGCCAGGGGATATGAAAGAACATTCATAAGGCATACTTTAGATGGTTGATCAGGATTCCATTTCTTATCTTCATCAAACCCTGATAATGCAGCTCCATCTGGAGAAATCTAGAGAAGGCTGATGTAACATTAATTTCATAGATTTTGGAAACCATGCCATTGTTCCTAATATAATATCATGACGAAAAACCAGTCATGATGGTAATAAAGTGTTTTTTTTTACTGAAGAATTGTAATGAATTGGGAACTATAATAAATCATTCCCCTAATATTAACTGTATTTGGTTGGTCATATGGAGATGACGAGAAACAACTGAGTAACATTATCCCAGATATACCTGCTAGTTATTTCCTTCATGAACTCACTTCTGCATAAATATTGTTAGACTGTCAGAAAGTCAGTAATACATAAAATAATTCTCTAAGGTGTTGTGATAAATCATAAACATGGAGAGAGAGGAAAGGAGTTCTGCTTCCTTCCAAGAGATTATTTCAGCACCCTCCAAACATTTTAGATTGCAATTCCTGATACACCAAGTCAAATGTTGCTTTAGCCATGCATTCTAAATCACGGTAGGCTATACATAAAAAGAATGGCCACCATTAAGGTAAGGCAACCCAATCCATTACAATCAAGCTTCTATCTTCTGCTAGCTAAAAAAATAAATAAACCTTCCACGACCTAAGTCACAACCCCCTTCAAAACAAATTATATAACAAGATGATTGCTAAGTTTTAAGATACATAAAGGATTAAGTATAAGTGCTACCTGTTGCAAAATTAGTAGCTGGCTTTCTGCATGGTGCTCTTTATTGGAATCTAGTGCAGGAGCTTTCATTGACATACCGATAGAAAAGCACAAACATATGTAAGCCACCTCTGTGTTAAAAGAACTGTTATTCAAACATCTGTTTTCCTTCTATTGTATTTATTAGCAGCATTGCTTTGATACAAATACAATCCATTAGTATCTTCATCCCATAAATTTGTTTTACATGTTTCTAAAACACATAATTTTATGTACTTGTAATTATATTTTGTAGCCTTCATCAAATGTTGTTTGAATATCTGTTTTTCTGGCCCTATACAGCAAACCCAAGCAATACTATTATTAAATGGGAAAAAATTACACACCCATGCTAAATTGATATAGAAACATTTGCCTTTGACCTTGGTTTTTTTCCACAGAATTATAGCTGTTTGAGAAAGGAAGTAGCCAAAGTGAAAGTATAGAAACATTAAGTTTCAAATGTAATAAAGCATGAGACTTGCTCTTTAGTAACTCCCACTCTATTTTTCCCTGTTTATTCCATTCAAATTGTAATTAGGATTACACATTTAAGCATCACATTCTTTTATTCTATTTTTTGGACAAAGGATTAAATCTTGATTTCTCTTAACATTCGGTCTGTTCGTTTTAATTCACAATGGGCAGGTTCAGTAATAAATATTACATTGGACGTAACTTTTTCGGTGTACAATATGACCCAAGATTCACAGTTTTTAAGCTAATATGCATCTTGTATTTCCACAGTGTTTGAGAATTAGGGTATTCATCCCCAATTCAGGGCTATTATTCTGAATCTATGCTATTTGGAAAGAAATTAAAGCGGAACTTGATTGCAAAAAAAGTTATGTAGGTTAAGTTTTAATTTGATATACAAAAGCCATCTAGATTTAAGATTATATTGCCCACTGAAAACATCCATCTCATTCCCTATTTTTGGTCCACGTATCTTATATACTTGTCTTGCAATAGTTGTTGACAGATTTTTCCTCAATAAGTCTATTCCACCTATTTTTTGAAAGCCATGAAACTAGTGATTATCATCCCATTGTGCAGTGTAAATTCCATTGTTACTTTTTTACTACCCCCATAAAACCTAATAGGGCCACAAGAGATATTTACTAGTCCATTGAATGATAACTATCAGATGGTCATTTATGTTACATCAAAAGAGATCATTCTCCTAAAATCTTTATCTGTTCAACTCTTCTTCCTCTCCACCGCTGAATGGGAAAGTTCCTCCTTACATGGATATCACTTCCAGAGTGTTAAGAGGGATTGACTTCCAAATAAGTATAGATAAAATAGCAGACTGAATTGCTTATTTCCACGTCATTGATTGACAGTAGCCTGTAGCAAACACTAGATAAGTCTTTCCTGGAAAATGGGGGAAATCTTGCATTTCACTGGTAGGCCGCTCTATACTTACAAACAGATTGCTGTCTGTGGAAATAGCAGAGGATAAATTAGCAAATGCAAAGGACTAAGAATGAAGGATCCATCCAAGGTTTAGGGATTGGATATTGTGTATTATTGTTCATTTCCACTCCTAAATTTACTTTTTAAAAAGCTCCTAAGCACTTCCTGAAAGCTCTTTTAAAAAAAAAGAAAAAAAAAAGAAAAATAGCATTAATTCTAATTTATTACACACCGTGCAGGGTTGAGGTCAGGCAGTAAGGCAAAAGGCTATAAATACTGCAAACATTACAGCATGGGGGTGAGAAAACACACAATTCATATTTATTCTTCTTACCCAAGGAAGTAGTTTGAAAGTTTTCAGTTGAAGCAAAGGGGGTAGAGGTGGGATGCGACTGACCTCCTTTTCTCTATCTAGCTCCATAAATCTAGCTAAAAAACAAACAAACACCACTTTAAGCAAATCCGAACAAATTTGAGATCTGCAATGTAGAAATCGCCATAACTTAAGTCAGTCCCTTCTTGGCCCTAGGCAGGCCTGCAAATCCTGCAGTATAAAACCCACGGCACTTCGAAACACAAGGAATTTATGTAACAGATTTTTTTTAAAAAAAGTATTGTGGGATGGGCGGGGGAAAGGCTGCTTAAGGTGGCCGTTTCATGTCCCCCAACCTCTTGTCGAAGTCCACACAGAGGGCGGGCAAGTGCCTGGCGCTCTGCCTCGGGACTCCAGGCTGACTTCCCCGCCTTTTGGGCGCGAAGTTTAGAGGCGGGCGGCGGGGTGACTTCGGGACTCGGAAAGCAGCTGCAAAGCCCAAAGCGAGTTTGCCAGGGCCGCTCCCCGCAACTCTGTCCCAGCTCAAGTCCAGGCAACCCTGCGGCTTCCTTGCTGTCTGTCTTCTCCTCCTGCACCTCCCATTTGCAGGAACAGCGGCAATCTCCTCAGGCTAGGGAGTTCGGCTTCCTCTGCCGGGCTTCACCTGCCCCTGCTTTCCCAGTGTCCCATTCAGCTTCTCTGTCTGCCCCCAATTCCCCGCCCTTCACCCCCGCGCTCCTTCAACCACTGCGGCTCTGCTTCCCAGAGGTGCGATCGCGCCGAGTTCTAAGCCAGGGCCTTACCTGAGCGCGCCTCTTCCAATGGCTGCTCACCTGAAGGCCCGCTCCACCCAATCAGCTCGCGGCTCGTCCCTCCTGCCTGCTATCCTTGAGTGAAAGAATCCAGCTTCTCTTGGGAAAGTTACCTGTAGGCGCCTTCAAGCTTTTGTTGCTTGGCTGCTCGGTGCCCTAAACCGCGGGGGGGAGGGAGTGCAAGAGGAAAAAAAAGGGCCAGCCAGTCTTCTTCCCACATGCGAGGGGCGGGGAGAAGGGGGCTTTACCTGTCCCACTCCTACCTCTGCGGCTGGCTGAGGGAGAAGTAGAGGGGGGAAAGAAAAGCAGAATTACCAGTAGCTCTGGTTCTGCCGTCCCGGGAGCTCGGTCGCTCTCACACGCGAGCGCACACACACGCACACACGCACACACACACCTTTACCTGCACAGACTTGAAAGTCCAGTTTCACCAGAGAGACTGAGGCATCTGGAAAAGGGGAGAGAGTTCATTGGATCAAACATGTCACAAGAGACGGACAAGTAAGTGATCACAGCCAGCTTGCTACTTTTGCTGCTCCTGAACGGATCAACTGGTTGGTTGTGTTTTCTTTCCCTTAAAAGAAAAGAAAAAAAAACCAAAACAAAACACGATCTCGGTGGTGGACGCACTGCGATTACATTTCCTCCTTTATACAAGGAATACAGGGGGTTAAATAGAACCCACAGGAAAGCTATTGAATTCCACCAACTTCCCCAATTTCTTTCATTCTCCCCCTTAAAAAAAATTGGCTCTGGATTCTCTGTGTAACTTTCCCAAAGTTTGGGGAGAGCTTTACTTCTGTGCTATAGAACTGGAGGACCAATGCCTTCCTGTCCTTCAGGGCCTAGATATGAAACGTGATTCTTGGCTTTTGTATGTGAATGCAACAAAAGAGCTTTTATATTGGATCAGAAACGGCCATCTTCCCGTTTTCTTGGCACTTCTGCATGTGTATTTTGGGACAGAAAGATGTAAAAGGTGGATCTCAGGAATTCTTTATTTCAAACTGGGGGGGGGAGTTATGATGGCGAGAAGGGGGGGCAGGGGTAACGGATTAAAAACAGCCTGGTTCTAGAATTAAAAAAAAAGCATATTATAGAAGGGAGGATGGAGGGGGCAAAAATATGGGGATCCCCTCCCTTCAGTAAGAGGAAGTGATTTCAGGTAAAAATATTATTTCGTTTTTCCACTACATTGTATGTACATGTGGCATAAAATATTCCACTCCATGATAAAAAAAATTATGAATTTCACTTCCTTAAACTCTCAAATAGGGGTAAAATCAAAATGCACTTTATTAAAAATCTCAAAATTCTTTGAAAAGCTCTAGGTTGTACATTGAGACAGCTTGAAATAAGCAACAAAGCCTATTGTTTAAGAATGTTCATAATAAACCAAATAACATTAGCATTTTTGTTAAAATTTCTAACGTGCCAACGCTAAAGGACATTATGATTCTGAGATTGTTGTGTGTGCAGACATAATAACGCTCTATTCTATAGTGGCCTCCCTTGTATTCCTCTCCCCATTTTCAAATGTGTGCAAGGTGGAAGTTAGACAATCTTGTACAGGCTTCATCTCCCCCTCCCAGCACCTCCCTATGACTGCGTCTTCCTTATGGCAGTTGTTACTGGCTCCTTCTGAGCTTCCTGGTAGCTGCAGATCCTACCAATACTAAAGGGAGAAGGCCAGAATCTTGCAGTGGGTTGGGTCTCAAGATCAGGAATAATAGATTGTATCTTGAACTTCCTTCTGAGCCTGTGCAGCACCATGCATAAGAAAATCATCTCTAGCACTGGGACAAAACTCCTGTTGTGGAATTTCTATCCTGGGTTATTGACCTACAGGTGTGGAAAAGGGAAAGATGAAAGAAGAGGGGAGGGAAGTAGAAATCAACAGGATTCAATTTAGCAGGAAAAAAGGATTTAACAAATTCTTAATGTGAGAAAGCTGGTTGCTGAAAAGGACTGACTCTCTTGAAACTTGAGAGTGGAATACATAAAGTTCCATAATTAGACAATGACTAATATAGCAGTGATGTATTGGTCCCCCTCCCCTGTCTGTCCATTGGGAAGAAATTTACCTCTTCATGATCAGTAAAAGCGGGCAAGATCATTCAAAATAAGGTGGCCTTTCCATGGAGTCTTTTGGAATTTCTTCTCATGTGTAACTCTCAGTTGATTCAAGATTGTGTGCAAAGGGCAATGATGGTTTTGATTTGATAAAACAAGATGAAAAGGTTTAATCTTTTACATCATCTCCTGGAACTTTTGGAAAGTGGTTTTGTTCCCTATAGCACATTATTCATTATTAAAGTAGGTGTACCCATTAAAGTCTGGTATGAAGGACAATTGTTTAAACAACAGATTTTGATCAGTATCTGAGATGTTACGTATATGCCTGGGTTAGTCAAAATGTCTTGAAAAGCATAGGCTGTTCTAATCATTTGAGAGAAGTGAAGAAACTATGTGTTTTTCTTTACTTTTTGTTTTTTAATGTATTGTGTTTCTGTGGCTAAAGTAGTCAACCAGATTTTGCTTTAATGCCGAAATTAATTTGTGTAACGTTTAGGTACATTCCTATGAATATTTTACTTTATATCCTGAATTAGTTGGATTTGTGTCTCAATAAATGGGTTTAGGATTACTCTGCAAGACATATGTGATTGATAAGGCATTCTCGTTTATTTCATGCGAGATTTTATACAAAGTTTTTAAACTATTGTTGTTTTAATTTTTATTTACATAGTTGCATTAAAGTCATCTAGTACTTAAATTATTTGCACGTGAAAATAAGCAAATAAAGTTCCTTACAAAACTAACCAATAAATCCACAATACCTTTTTTTAAAAATAATCCTTCAAAATTATTATATATGCTACTAATTTTAAATTATTTTTACACCATAGCAACTATTTTTATTACTTTTAATCCAGAGGAAACTAGATTGAAAGACTTCTAATGAAACTTCATCTTTTATTCTCAGAAACAGTTGAACTGAATTTGTAGGAGATGGGAGAATTGGGAAAGTTAGCGAAGGGTGCAGACATTTCCAGATTTGAATCTACAATAAACCATAGAGACTTTTGTCAAGAGACAGCTACTTTAATCCCATGTTGGATGCAGCAGTAACTTTTCTAATTTGATGTCTTGTTTCCATTTGAAAGAGTCTTCCAAATGTTTCTAGCTGTGTACATATGCACAGTTATCTTCCTTTAGTTTTTATTCTTGCAACAACTCTTTGAGATTATATCTGACTCAAAGTCAGCCAATGATCTGGGATTTAGAATTTGGATCTTCCCTGTCCTAATTCAACCCTCTAATTATACAACAATAGTTCATTTAGCTGTGAAGCCTTGGGAAACAGGCAATTGTCTGCATTTCAAGAAGGCTATGTGTATTTTTTAAAACTATTTTTCTGAAGACAATGTAATTTTATTTTGTGAAAACTAATTTTTCTCCTTGTCAGTAGAAGCATTGCCCTTCATGAATGTTAAACACAACAGGCTATTAGAGATGAGGAGGATATAAAACCCACTTCATGCAATCCTCTCTGTGAATATGGAAGAGGTAGTTGAGTACATATTACTAAATTCAAATACTACAGTGAGCCAATAAGTAATATGATCTTGAGTTAATGTGATATATGAAGGGAGTGGAGGGTAAGCCACAGTTTGAAACCAGGGTTTGTTATTTTCATACTAACTGTTACTTTCTTTGGAAGATGTCAAAATAAGGATGGCTGGTTGGTTTGTGATATCTTAGTTTAATCTTGAATTGTTTCTGTGCCCATTCAGGTTTCCAATCAATGCACAGAAATGCAAGGCCAAACCAGTTAAGACTGAACTTATCATTGGCTAAACAAGCCATAATTATTTTGCTTATCTGTAGAGTTTCTAGCATATTCAGTAAGCAGTGGAGAAAAATATTACAACTTGTTTGCTTTGAGCACCTTTGAAAAGTATCTAGAAACTTCAAATGGTGCAAATTGAGCAACAAAACATGTTACTGGTGACAATACTAGAATCATATTACGCCTGAATTGGGCAATCTGCATATCTTTCCAATTGTTTTGTGGACACAATTTAATGTGCTGATTTAAGTCTGCAATATTTTTAAGGCACATAATTCTCTCATTATACACTTTTTCACGCATTAAGATATGCAGGTAAGGCTCTCTTAAAAATGCCTTTGCATTCAGAATCGATTTATTGGGTGTTTGTGAGAAGGATCCCTAACTGTGCAGTTCACTCTCTAGGAACTGGTGTTTGATTCCCAGTCTGTTTTCTGAAGATGGACTTAAGACTCCCCATGGAAACTAGGCCTTTTTGTTTCCCTTAGATTGATTTCAATATGTATTTGAGTCATTTAATTACGTTCAAGGGTTTATGTACTTCTGATAGCCATTTTGAGATGGAAAGGAGAGAGAGAGAGAGAGAGAGGGAGGGAGAGAGAGAGAGAGAGAGAGAGAGAGAGAGAGAAACAATGAGCAAATGAGCTATAGCATAGCATAATTATTGTATTATATTTGTAGCTTGTTTTTGTTGTTAGATCACTCAATGAACTACTTACAGCAATAAAATATTAACATAATATCATAAAAATTGAATAATAGCACAAGCACTTACACTTATATACCACTCCATAATGCACAACACTCTGTAAGCAGTTTATATGGTCAGCATATTGACCCCAGCAATATGCATCCTCATCGATGGAGCCAGTCAGGATCAGACTCCTGGCAATGAGCAGTCAGCTTTAATACTGCATTCTAACCACTGCACCACTATGGCTCCTTAAACTACCACATAGAGCAGGGATTATCCACCTATGTCCTACAGGCTGGATGTGACCTGCCCCTTGAAATCACCTGGCCTGTGGTCATCCAAATAAATATATTTACCCAGTCTACAAGAGAGAGCACACTTAGTACCTCCTCGGGTGACCATCTTGGTGACAACTTCACCAGATACATAGCCAGAACAACAATTCCTTTTTAAAAAAATATATGTTTATTTTCATATAAATCCACAAGTATGCCATTACATCTTAACAAACACTATTATATGTTATCCAATATTATATCAATTCCTCTCACCATGTACCAACAACAACTCTCATTTGCTGTTCTGCTTTCCATACATCATCATATACCTTGTTCTACAACAACCCTACCTCCTCTCCTTCTCTCCCTCTCCCTCCCTCCTTCTTTCCCTCAGTATTTTCTTCTCCCTCCTCTCCTTTCTCTTCTCTACTTCCCCTTTCTCTCTCCTCTCCTCTCTCTCCTACTCTTTTCCTCACCTCTGCTTCCCTTTCTCCTATCCCCTCTCGTCTTTCTCTCTTCCCCTCTTTCTCCCCTCCTCCCTTCCACTCTTCTCTACTCCTCTCTCCACTTCATCTCTCCATAGAACAATTCCTTTGGAAATGATACTAGTGATTCCATGGACTCTGGATCATACATAGAAGAAAATTGCCAACCCCTGATAATGCAGCAATTTAAA